CCCGCAAAATTGAGTAGGATGAATGTGGATGCTCTAAGTAAAGGCATCTAAACCAAAAAGATTTATTTTCTCAAGAAATGATCATTTACATGGTATTATTCATGATACACAATTACCTAGGAACATTTAGATGTATGAAAATATATTACATAGTACTCCTTATGTCCCAAATTGAGTTGCGAAATTAATTTTTTTGGGCTTAACATATTTATATATTCACTTAATTAGGATATCAAATATTAATTAATTTTTAATTTGGATTTTGCAACTTTATAGAGATTTTAATGTAGTTTCTTAATATGTAAATTTTAATTATTAAAATTGAATTAATTATCAATAGACATGGGGTTTAACTTTATTCTTGATTAACAAAAAATGTTAATTTAAAGAGAATTCCAGAATAAATCTGATTGAAACCTTCTTAACAAAAAAATTACACCTCATCTCTGACGGATGAGTTTCTAATCACATACTACGTGCGTTTATTCAATAAATAAATAAAAATACAGCACCAATTAGTCAATGCAATACAAGATAATTCGGAGCAAGAGGTCGGTGTCAGTTCATTATCGAATCTATCCAATTATGGGATGCTTATAAATATTCCTCAATCCCACACAGTTTTAAATGTGTTTAATATGAATCCATATCTGCCCTAAAAGAATCCATCCGATTTCAGGTGGTAAAAAACGTGGGTCAGGTCGAAAAAAAGAGATGGCGACAAACGGTACAAAGACATGTCCGTCTCCCATGAAAGCTACATCGAATGGATCATTTCAAGGAGACAATCCTCTGGATTACGCCCTTCCTCTGCTTATCGTGCAGATATGCTTGGTCGTCGCCCTCACTCGAACACTCGCCTATCTTCTTCGCCCCCTCCGGCAGCCCCGCGTCATTGCTGAGATCATTGTAAGTTCTTCATTCCCCTGCAAATATCTATCTCTGGAACCTCATTTATGTAATGCCATTAACCCAAATACAACCATATGAATCGCGAATAAGGATTAAACAACTCAAATGTTATGCCTTTTTACGATGAAATTGGTAATTATTAATACTTACAACACGAGGTAAGTTTGTTAAGACTCGGGTTCCATCGGAGTAGTATTTTATTGTTTTTATAGTTTTCTGCTGTTCCCGCTGTCCGAGCTGGGCTAAACAATATCTGGTGTATAAATAGACTAAACAATCCATTAACAAATTATCCTTAATCACGAGTGCTAAACAAGCAATCAAACCACAACTATACTGATACCTAAAAGGTCTGATAAGAGGAGTAGCTCAAAGCCTTATATAGTATTTTATTGTTTTTATAGTTTTCCGATGTGGGACAAATACTTCAACCCGCTCACAATATCGGGGTATAAATGGGCCAAATAGACCCTTAAGATTCAAGAATTATTTTGTATATGTCCGGGGTATGGGAGATTAATTGATTCTGATGCCGTAACTTGGTATTTTTATACTAAAAGTGTAACATGATAGGAAAAGGTTGTTCAGGATCTTACATATGCTTCTGTGTTGTGTTGTTATACTGGTAAAAGTAGTTAACTTCAAGATAGGTATGTTCCAACAAGACACTGATGTTGGAAGACCATCTTGAAAAACACGAGTCTTGATTAAGTATAATTTACCTGCTCCTGCTTTAGTAATGACATTTCTTCTTTTTGTTTTTGTTGGCTAGGGAGGGGTTCTGCTTGGTCCATCTGCTTTAGGCAGGAACAAACACTATCTGAATTCCATATTCCCTCCTAGAAGCCTAACAGTGTTGGATACCCTGGCCAATCTGGGCCTTCTCTTCTTTCTGTTCCTTGTTGGTCTTGAGCTTGATCCGAAGTCTCTGCGCCGAACAGGAAAGAAAGCGTTGAGCATTGCCCTTGCTGGGATCAGTCTCCCTTTCTTGTTAGGGGTAGGGACGTCATTTGTGCTAAGATCAACGGTGGCTCAAGGAGTGAAGCAGGGTCCGTTTCTGGTCTTCATGGGAGTGGCCCTTTCAATCACCGCTTTCCCAGTGTTGGCACGTATCCTGGCAGAACTCAAGCTCTTAACCACAGACGTTGGGCAAATGGCCATGTCAGCGGCCGCAGTTAATGACGTGGCAGCTTGGATCCTACTTGCCCTTGCCATTGCCCTTTCCAGTTCGGGCAACAACTCTCCACTGACCTCGCTATGGGTGTTATTGTGTGGGAGCGGATTTGTGCTCTTCTGCATATTGGTTGCCCCTCCTATATTCGGATGGATGGCCCGTGGCGTCTCTGAGGGGGAGCAAGTCAAGGAGTTACATGTGTGTGCCACGCTGGCAGCTGTGTTAGCAGCCGGATTTGTTACTGACACTATTGGAATTCATGCCTTGTTTGGAGCTTTCGTGCTTGGGGTTCTGGTTCCCAAAGAAGGACCGCTTGCGGGTGCCTTGGTTGAAAAAGTTGAAGATGTGGTGTCCGGGCTGTTCCTCCCATTGTACTTCGTTTCGAGTGGATTGAAGACGAATGTCGCCACCATCCAAGGTGCTCAGTCCTGGGGTCTTCTGGCTTTGGTCATTGTAACAGCATGCTTTGGAAAGATTTTTGGTACCATTTTGGCCTCACTGTTGTGCAAGGTTCCTTTCACCGAGGCTGTCAGTCTCGGTTTCTTGATGAACACTAAAGGTTTAGTGGAGCTCATTGTCCTTAACATTGGAAAAGATAGAGGGGTATGCTTCCTCTTTGAGCCTCTTTTTAATTTTGTAGACATTCATTTTGGCTTTTCTAAGATACTGTGTACATTTTATCATAAAAATACTAAGGCCTTGTTTGGTAAATGGCTTATCAGCCAATTATTTTCTGTTTTGACCAGTTTTTCCTGAGTTGACCAGCTCAATGAAACGTTTGGTAAATCACTTTTTGAGTTAGCTAACAGCCGATAACTAAATAGGACGTATGAGTCTTTGGGGTGTTATTTAGCCAATAAGGCTGAAAACGCCTATTTCTCCTGAACCATTCATTTTAGCCAAAGTCTACTTATTCTCTCTAATTACTTGCACTCAATTGATTGATAATGAAATAGGTAATGGCAATGATTATTATTTTTGGCTGAAACAACAACTTTAGGAGATTCTGCCATTTTTTTATCCCTTTTGAAAAAGACTCCTGACTTTTTGAAAAACTTTAAATCAGTACTTTCTCAGATTCACTCATTCTGAACCTTACTGTTAAATTTAATTTTGCAGGTTCTAAACGATCAAACATTTGCCATCATGGTGTTGATGGCTCTCTTTACTACCTTCATCACAACACCGTTGGTTATTGCGACATACAAACCGGCAAAAATGGCTGTGACAGAATACAAACACAGAACTATACAAACAAAGGACCCGAGCAACAAAAAGAGATTAAGAATCTTGGCATGCTTCCACGGCAAAGAGAACATCTCCTCACTGATTAATCTCATCGAGGCTTCTCGTGGGACCGAGAAGAGAGAAATCCGGGTATACGCGATGCACCTGGTGGAACTCTCAGAGAGGCCTTCTGCTATCCTAATGTGCCACAAAGCAAGGAAGAACGGGCTCCCCTTCTGGAACAAGGAAACAGCGAGCAGCCCCATCCATCATTCGGCTGACCAACTAATCGTTGCTTTTGAGACGTTTGGGCAGCTCAGCAAGGTTTCAATCCGCCCGACAACGGTCATCTCCGCGCTTTCCAGCATGCATGAGGACATCACGAGCTGTGCCAATCAGGAGAGGGTGACCATGATCATTCTCCCTTTCCACAAACACCAAAGATACGACGGGCATCTCGAGACGACCCGCACTGAGTTCCGCCACGTGAATCGGCGGGTCCTCCAGTACGCTCCGTGCTCTGTTGGCATCCTGGTCGACCGAGGACTTGGCGGGACATCACATGTGTCAGCTAGCAATGTGGATTACTCGATCACCGTCCTCTACTTTGGAGGCCACGATGACCGCGAAGCTCTTGCATATGGGGAGAGAATGGCTGAGCACCCTGGGATCAGCTTGCGAGTCACTCGTTTTGTCATTGACCCAGAGGTCGTGGGAAAGAGCGTGACCGTTCATGTGGGGTCCAATGTGCCGGAAAAAACAGAAGATGATGATGAAGCCTACTTTAACGACTTCAAGCAGAGAATCCTGAAAAATTCCTCTGTGAAATATGAAGAAGTGGTGGTTAGGAGTGGAGGGGGGGTAACTGAAGCGGTCCGAGAGTTGAATCGTGGGTGCAACCTATTTGTGGTTGGGCGAATGCCGGAGGGGCAAATAGTGTCATCGATGAAGGGTGGGGAATGCCCGGAATTAGGACCTGTAGGGAATTTGTTGACCTTTCCAGACTACTCAACAACAGCATCCGTTCTTGTGGTTCAGCAGTATCGGCGAGAGCTGTCGACGAATCATTTGAACTCACTCAGGGAAGCTGCTGCAGACTCAACCACAGATTATGATTCGGCTTGATTATACGAAAATAGGGAGCATCAATAGCACACCTTACCCGCTTGCATGCAAATATGCAATTGGAATGTTTATATTATACATGTCCTGAATCTACAGATTGTAATAGAATAGAAACTAAAGCATCTCCACCTACTTACCTACTTCATGAGGGTGGGCAGGAGCCAGGAATAATGATTATCTTTTGAAAAGTTAAGCTCTTCTGTAGTCGGGCATAGATAAAGTCTTGCTACAAGATACTTCTTCTGTAACCTTGCCTATCATCTTCATGAGTAAATAAATATGTCCGTGCATATAGTCATTTTAAAGCCAACGTTTTGAAACTAGAGATTTACGTCGTTATCCATATAAATGGCATGATTGCCCTGAGAAAACAAAATAGCATCTGCAGATCTGTTACTCGTCTCCACCTAGGCAAATGCTCAAACGTTTTCAATATTAGCTTCTTGTTTGATGACTAATCCCATTATCTTGATCTTTGGGAGTGTTTGTGATTGTTCTACTTCAAAAAATGATTTTTTTATAGTGATTTTGAAGAAAGTACTTAACTGTAAAAGTTGATGGTGTTCGAGAAAAAGTGCTTTTTTTAACAGAAACTTGCCGCTATTCATATCATAAGTTTTGGGATCATTACATCAATCAAAAGAAAAACAAATCTGACACCAACTAAACTCCAACAACTACGACTGTAAACCCTATGATCAGACTTAGAGACGCCCCCCGAAAGAGCAACACGAATTGCTTGACACAGCACGCTTGACACAGTCATCTCTGTTCCCATAGATCCAAACATACCCAATGACATTAAAAAAATGTTAAATTCTCAAACTGACAAACCTAACAACATAAATGATAACAAGAAACCAAATGACAAAATAATAAAAACTAATAGGAGGAGGGCGAAACATGAAAACAGCTAAATAAGAAAAATAAATATCTTGAACCCTAGCACCTCGTTCAGACCCTGGCGGTGGTTCAGGAGGAGGCCGGACCATCTCAATGATTGTTGACACGAACAAGGCACGTCTCCCGCCCGTCGCTCGACTGATACCTTGACGAGCAACCTCCGTATGCCCTGCAATTTCAGCCCCTCTGGACGCCTCCATTTCTCCCTCCCTTGGCTCCCTCATATTCAGAACAATCTTGGATCGATGTAAGAAAGCCACGAAGAAAACAAGGAAATAGTCTGAAACGATGCCTCAAAGACACGCATAATCCAAAACTGCTCCTCGACAATTGTCGATAGCAGAAGAAAAGCTCTGGCGGCTAGTAACCCTAGATAGAAGCCCGAAAGGTGCTGAAGAAGACGATCTGCTCAAACAAGATGACGGTGGAAATCCTCACCCTAGACGATGTGCTCTAGTGTTAAGTCATATCGATGTACATTGAGAAAAAGTGCTTTTGAAAAGTAAAAGCCAGTAGTGTTTGATAAAATAAGTGATTTTTTTGTAAAAGAAAAAGTGAAAAGCAGTTAACCTGCTTCGAGCTTGTAGCTTTTAAATGCTTCATTTCAGCAGAAGCTATCATTTGAAAACCTCATTTCATCTTTTTTAAATCAAAAATCTGAAAAACATTTTTTTTAGTTTTAGCAAACACTCCCTTTGTATCTGATACTTTCTGTGATGAAAAGTGTGCTTCCGCCTCAGAAACTAGTTGCCCATTTCCAGTTCCACACTGCAACCAATTTCCGGAACTGGTCCAAACTACTTGTAATTCCTCCGGAATAAGCTCCCAACAACTCTGCTTTTTAATTTCTCCTCCTATATGTTGATAAATGAAATTTGTCAAGTCATGACAACTAAGAAAAGAGAACTAAAGAAACATAACAAAAGGCCATCCGGTTATAATGGACAACCTACCAAGTCATTCATGAACTATTTAGGGCATTGGTTTGTCAATAATGCTATATATGCAAGTTCGTTAATCAGTTTGGTAGTTAGTTCCAGCTTGCTTTGTTTAATAGTGTATATGTAATTAATAAATTTTAATAATTAAATTAACCAAGTGATCCTGAAATCAATGAGCTAAGGTAACATTTCCTAAGTTGAAATAAAATGTACATTTACTGAAATCAATTTGTAGTAAGATGTATTCTAAAATACCTGCCACTTGATTCCATTGCACTCCATTACGACTTCCACACATTGCAAAGATGCAACATTTTCTATGTGGATGTGAGTTTTTTAGTGTTGTTTGCTAGAATTTTCACCTCAAAGTTGAGTGAGGTTGAATAGTTGTGCTCTTTTTAGTTCTTAACGAGCCCAACTAAAAACTTTTCTTGTTTAGTATTATAAACAAATTTCTCACAATCCAACGCTTGAGCTATTCAATTCACGAAGCAACTACGGAGTATTTTGACAACAAACTGAATAACCTGAGTTCAAGCTGAGTTGTACAAGTCTGTATCGAGCACAATCTTTGCCTAATGATTTGACGCTAACTGTTATGGGTGTGCGCATATCACTAACCAAACTTGATGTCATTACTAATTGATTGATGATTCTATTTGTTTGCATCCTAACCGCTAGTACCCATTTCAGGTTTGAGATGATATGATGCCATTTAAAAGCTGTGTACCCATTTGAAATTTACGGAAGGGGAAAAGGGCGAAACACATCCTTCATGTTATTTGAAATCGATTCAAAACTCACTATTTTTTTGCTTGAGAATATATGGGATAAAGTAAAATGACTGGCTAAACTGTCTGCGCTTCTTTATTATAAAGCATCAGTCAGTCCATGCAATTCTCGACGCGATTTTCAGTATAGGTCATCCGAAAATAGTCTCTCTATATTTTAGTATAGGGGTAAGATTGCATACGTCCGACTCCGACCCCCTCTACATAAATTGTATCTTTGAAATGTACTTCGTATTATTTATAGATAGATTAGCCTATTCAATCGATTCAGTTGAAATTTATGCTTCCATCAACACAACCACTTCTTATGCTTCCATCAACTGAATTGATTGGTTCTGCAGAAATTTATGATAGTCTGGCTGATGTGACCTAAATGACTAATTCTGCTGATTTATGAAAAGAAACAAAAACAGAATATATTTTATTAATAAAACAAGAAAAAGTCATATGTAAAATTGCTAAAGTGGTCATCTACAATGACTTCAGTCAATACAGCTAGAAAAATAACTTCAACCTTATTTTTTATTAGTATTACACAATTTAGCCCGTGAGATCAAAAGCTTCGTGTTTAGTGAAAAAGTTGAATGATAATTTAGGATGTTTTTACCTGGACTGTTTTTAGTTCCAGACTAGACCAAACCAAACTTAAACAGACGAGACCAGACTTGACTTTCGTAGTTATAAATTACAAAGATCAGACATTTACCAGACCCGACGAGACCAACAAATTTCAATCCAAATAAAAACATCAAAAACGGGATTATTAAACAGACTTTTAAGAGAAAAGGGTCAAATAAGGTCTTCTACTATTATGAAATCGTCACATAAGGCCATATACTCAATAAAGTGTCGTATAAATACGTCTACTTATAAAAAACAATCGGATGAGTCCTAATGACCCGTTGACAACCTCTTAATCCTAATTTTAGCTTACGTGTCAATTTTTTTGGCTTGTATTTCAACCAATCTTAGGTAAATATTCGACGTGTACCGTATAATCTATTACAAAAAGATGGTTTCAAGAACACTAAAATCGGGATTAGGAGGTTGTAAATAGGTCGTTAGGACTTATTTGATTTTTTTACAAGTAGACGTATTTATATGACACTTTATTGAATATGCGATCTTATATGACGATTTCATAACAATAGGAAACCTTATTTGACCCTTTTCTCAACTTTTAATGGTGTATTAGGCCCAATTTTATGAATGCCCATAGCCGGATCTTTTCCGCCCATTTGGCCCTTACGAAGATAGAAGAATTGAACGGTAAAGAATGATGACAAATCGGAGACCAACCGCCAACGCAGAGGAGTGTGAGTGTGCGAGTTTGGAACAGAGTACTGACCAACAGCCAGTGAGCGCTGGGATACGACCGCTCGACCGTTGTCCGCGTACTGGGAGTTTGGAACATTGCTTTGAGGTGCTTCTCAAATTTACAGCTTTAGTTGTAACTTGTAAGGCTAGGTGCTTCTCAAATTATCTCAAGTTCTGACTTAGCGACTGTTACTCTGTGGTACGCACTTCTTCCGTATTTTTTCCTTTAGTTGTTACTTTATTACTCCCAATACTCCGTACTGCATACTCCCTCTGAAAGCCTAGGATAAAGTTTAACTGATCCCTTAATAAAGATCAAGAACAATTTGAGTTGATAGGAAAGCAGTTATTATTGCGTATTAACTAATTACAGCTTTTCTCTTTTCTAAACAATTTAAGGTTTATAGTTGAATAGTTATTTAGTTGTTGATTGTTTTTTTTTTATTGTTTTGATTTGTTAAATTGTGAATGTGTTGATAGTGTTGTTTTAGCTTCTTTTTTTTTATAATTAAAACTTGTCATGTAATTAAATTTTGATTTTATGTTAGTGTTAAAAGTTTTATGTACAAATATTGAAATTTTAATAAATTTGTAAATTTAATTAATTTCAAGGTGTAATTTTTATTTGCAGTTGACTTTCAGAAATTATACTTTGTGTAGTTCAACATATCTAATTATAAGTCTTTTCTTTCTTATAAAGTTTTTGAAGATTGTCATTATGCATCTTAGTTTGGACAGAAAAGGTTTTTGCAATTTTTTAAGAATAAGTTACCCGCCCTAGACCCTGGAACTGACAGAACCTGCCCTGAATGCAAGTGGCTGATAACAGACTAATCGTTACCATAGCAGGCGGAGAAAATGGCGTCAGCGTGTTTGCTACTTCCACTAGGTAAGAGTGTAAGACAATTGAGTTATTCACGTCTTCATTCGCTGCAGATCAGCTTACTTATTCCTAGTTAATTTTTGTTCCTTATCGTCTTCTTTTTTCTTGTAAATTGTAATTGATATAACGCTTGTTGTTTGTCATTTGCTCGCCTAGTGTTTGCCAATTTTTTTCATCCACTATTGTGGTGGAAAGTTTTGGTACCAGAGTTTGAGTTATTTCACTTATAATACACATATTATTGTGACAGATACATTTTTATACTACTTTGAATTTTCCACTTTTTTTGACAATTGTAAAAGTTATATTTTTGTCCTTAACTATTATCACAGTGACCCTTTTTGTGGATCACTTATTGCCTCAATAGGGAAGTTACTAAAAGTGTTATTTTTATAGAAGGTGAAAGACTAAAATGAAAGTTTTCATTTTTAAATATGGGAAAAAGGTGTGTCTTGTCAGAATAGTGAAAGGACCAAAAGTGAAAATTCAAAGTCGAGTAGTAAAAGTACCACACAATAGTCACAGGGCCAAAAGAGTTCAAATCTCTTGGCTTGCCCAATTGACAATTTTAGCTCAAGCCCCAACTTCTCTGGCTATTATGCTCTTTTTCCTTCTTGATTGACTGTTTCTTGTTATTTTCCATTATGGAATAACAAACTTCCTTTATATTGTTGTATCGAGAGAGTGTCCAATTAACTGCTTAATGAGAGGATTGGGGAGTCTTTTATGTTCAAATTCTTCACTTTTTTTGCAGAAGCAAAAAAAGTGTTGTCGCGTTATTCATCTTTGTTAGCATTGTTGTCATTCTTGGAGAGAGAAGTTCTTAAAGAAACACATCAGTTCATTCTCATTTTTATGTCACCTTAAGGCCTCTTCTCATGGGATTCCCTTCAGGCCTATTCTTGATCCAACATTATGTCAAGTTGTCTTCTCATGCAATATGTTTTGGAACTTAATAAACTAGGTGATTATATTTGAATTGAAATGATTTACTTAAGGTGTTGTACATTACAATTTGAAATTTATTTGTGTGTAGGTTGTATATTTGGCAAAACCAATACCACCAATGGTAAAAGATCATACGGAATAAGTATAGGTGCTGCAATACAATCAGTAAACATTATTGAGCGTCAAAATGAGTGTGCTGTGATGAACCGCAGAAGCTTAATGAACATAGGGGTTGGACTTCTAAGTTTCGAGAGTGGCTCTACATTTGTTGGAGCTGCTGGATTGCCCCCCGAAGAGAAACCAAAACTGTGTGATCAATCATGTGAGAAAGAGCTTGAAAATGTATGGTGAGATTACAAAGCTTCTTAAGCTTTTTAATAATCTTTTACTTCGATTAATATATGTAATAATAATCGTTTGCATCAAGATGTAATCATCTCAGTTTTAAACTAATTTCAAATGAGTAGTTCTTTGTTCACTCTTACTCTCGTTTTACCTTATTTTAATATTTTGAGAGACATTTTGCCTCTCATCCAAATTTGAAACGAATGATTACTCTGATATGGGCTAATCTCTAGTTTATTAAATTTGATTAATGCCATATACACATTGACTTTAGAGTGAGCTGGTAAAAGGCTAGACACCCTTTTCCAAAGGTCTTGTTTGGCAGAAGGAGGGGTTTTTCATCTTAAGAAAACATTGATTTACCTTTTTTTAATGATATAAAATGATAAATTAGTATAAACTCATTGATCTAGCCATTTAATTATCATCTCTGTTCTAAAAATCGTTCTAGGCGCCCGACTAGTCCCCTCCTGGGCGCTAGGCGGTGGTCGGGCGCCCCGATTTTCGTCCAGGCGCCCCGACTAATTGGTTTGCCGTCTAGATGAATTAGTCGGCCGCCTATGGCGCCTAGTTGCCCTCCTAGAGCGCCTAATCGGCCGCCTAGGCCGTCTTGATTCGCTGAACATTAATTTACTTTTTAATTTTAATATTCTACAAAGAAATGAAGTTTTAAATTAAGATAAAACTATATATGTTTGTAGACAAATCTTCATGTCAGGCTGGCCTGACGGGATGCTCCGTCCGGCCGAGGGCATTTCGGGCACTTCCCGGTGGAATTTTTTGATGAAATGTTTTGAGCATGTTCTTCATGAAGTCTAGTTTATCCATATCAAATTTCAGCTAAAAATTCAATCGGGAAGGCACTCAAATAATTTCTTGAAGTTAACTGGGCAGTTCATACATATAAACTGCCCAGTTAACTTCAAGAAATTATTTGAGTGCCTTCCCGATTGAATTTTTAGCTGAAATTTGGTATGGATAAACTAGACTTCATGAAGAACATGCTCAAAACATTTCATCAAAAAACTCCACGGGGAAGTGCCCGAAATGCCCTCGGCCGGACGGAGCATCCCGTCAGGCCGGCTTGACATGAAGACTACTCTATGTTTGTATATATACCTAAATTTTATCATTAATTATATTTATACTATAATGAAGTTAAGTGATTAGTTATCATATACTACGTATGATAAAATGTGAGAATTCTATCTTTCATGTTTGTTAATGTATATGTATATATGTATTTTATACACAAAAAATACAATATTACTTATCATATTTATGCAAAAATATAGATAAAAATGCAATTTCTATGTCTCCGACTAGTCCCCCGACTAGGCGCCTGCCTAGGCGCTGGGCTGGCGCCCGCCTAGCGCCTTTTAGAACATTGATTATCATCATAAACTTTATACAGTTTCCTTAATAGAAATAATAGTTTTCTTCGTACACACTATCATTAGAATGAGCTGGTAAAATAGTAGTCAAC